AGACTTAAAAACCCCTGCAATTTGGTTTTCCATTATCTGTCAGGATGAAGAATATTACACCTGGTATAGGAGAGAACAACTTCTATGCTGCAGTGCACAAGTTAAAGATAAATCTTGCTCAGGCTGGTAAAATAGCAGCTAGCTAGTATGATGCTGGCTTTGGCTCGTCCTTGTCTTGCAAAAGCACAGTGGTGGATGCCTGAGTTCACCTTTGATGAAATTCCACAACATATTATAAGGTGATAAATTCTGCTCTGATGGTTTCATAATCAGGGATCAGTCTCAGAGCAGGTTCTGCTTTCTGCACAGAGGAGTTCTGTAATTTATAGCTTTAGGGGGAGTCTTTTGTATTACATCCTGGTAATTAACCTGGAGGAGAAGTAAAGGCCAAGGATTTAACTTTACTCGGTGTTCCCTGGGAAATGGGCATAATTAAACAAATTATTTTGAACAAATATAGGTCATGATCTTTTCATCCTTTTTTGCCGTCAAATTATAGGACCTTGGCGTAGCTGGAGCCTGAACAGCAGCCACTAAATAAATTCCAGGAACGGGCGTGAATGCAGTTGTATTTCTATTTGCACCTTGAAACAGAAGTTTTCTGGCAGCCTTAACATTTTATTCTTTACTTCTGCCACCATTGTGCAATTTCTATTTTGGTTATAAATCTCTCCAGTTGTGGTCCTTTTCTGCTGTGCTGTGGCTTAGAGGAGCATATTTTCAAGATTCCCATTGAAAGTACATCAGAGATTTAATCTCTTATGAACAGGTCTGTTCCCTCTTAGTTTTGCTAAAGCAGCAGGAAAATACTCAAGAGCCTGAGCGGTTCGTGGCCTGCAGTGAGAAGCAAGATAGCGATGCCTACCACGGGAGTAAAATCTCAGATCTTTATTTAGAGTTTTGAGGTGATCCTCCAGGGTGAGCACTGCGAACAGGGAGAGGACCTTAACAGTATTTGTTCTGTATTTTCTTCAGGGCACTCCCTCTTTCCATGTGTGGTTTGTTTGGATTTTTTTTTTTCCTCTGCTTATGCACTACTTTTATGGCTGAGCAAACACAGACCTTGCTGTTCCTGTATCCTCCCACCCAGTATTTGTATAGTAGGGTGGACTTCAGCATCTCCTGTTCCCTGTCCTATGTCACCACTTTCTTGTCAGCAGACAAGTGCTGCTCATCACTAACAATTTTAGTAAGATGTGGATGTAGCAGAAGAAATTTGGGAAGATGGATTTACAAGATTAAACGGAGACAAGGCTGTGGGAATGATTGGGAAAGTTAACTTAGAGGGTAAATATTTGCTAAGCTAGAGAAATGGACAACAGAGACTCGATGAAGTCGAAGGAAAAGGGGGTGATCAGGGAAGTTTTTAAACGTGAGAAGTTGGTGTGCTTGTGGATGTAGTTTGCCTGGAATCAAACCAGTGTGGGAAAAATTTTCCACTTGGAAAAGTCCTAGATAAATGTAGCGTTTGAAAGAAGCAAGTGGAACATATATATGTGTGTGTGTGTGTGTATATATATATATAGTAACACTTTTTTCAGATTGCTAATGAAGTTAGCTGTTATTTCTCAACCTCAGCTTTAATTGCCAAATGGTTCTTTTAATTTTTTTCAGTTTGAAAGGAACGTCCTGCATGGGATTAAAAACAAACAAACAACCCTGCTAAGAAAAACAATGCCTATCATATTGCTCCCCACCCTCTACCGCAAAAAAAAAAAAAACCCATACAAGCTTTTTTTGCCTTAAATTTGTACCTAAAGCTTTATTGGAAAGGCATCTTATCATTTTTTTTTGGAGTGTCCTGTCATTATATTTACACATGAAGCTAAAAATAAACAAATGAAAAAAATAATTATGGTTTCACATGAAGGAAAAAATATTCATTTCAATGCTGTAATAATTTGTATGTAAAAAGATGTACATGTTGACTAATAAGCATTATGCATGCTAAGAATCTGGGTTGTGGGTCTTTTTGTTTGTTTTTTGAGTGACTTGGGTAATAATTGTTCTTTTTTATTTTAGTACCATGGCTGTGTTTTATTACGTAAAGCCTATTACTGTTGTAGTGAGGCTCTGTGGTGCCAGGCTGCTGTCTCTTGAGTTTGGTTGTTGCTTTTTTTTAATTTTTTATTATTTTTTAAATTTTTTGCTAGCCCCTCACCCCTCCCACGCAGTGGTAGCTGCCTGGAGGCAGCAGTGGAGCAGAGCTGGCAGCGTGGGCAGCGCGGGCAGCGAGCTGTGTGGCTCCCCTTATGCCGTCCCAGCCTGGGGCTGGGGCCTGGCTGCTCCCTCCAGCACTCAAGCACTCCTTCGTGCAGGCAAAGCGCCAGGAGGGAGAAAGCTGCCTGTTCTTTTTCCAGCTGAGGAGGAGAACGTGTGTTTTCCTTTCAGCTTTGATCAGAAATGTTGATTTTTTGCTTTTTTGGCCTCGTGAGCATGGGGTTGTAACAGTCCTTGTATGGGTAACAGCAGGCATTGCCTCTAGCAATAATGATTCCCTTGGGATAGCAATATCTTGCAAGTGGTCTTTGGGTGGGTTTTATAATCTGAATTTGCATCTACTTTATTAAAGTATTCAGCTTTATCAAGTTCTGTAAAGTTGCGGTGAAGTGCGGTGACATTCTGAAGATGTTCAGGGTGGAACATTGTCTCTCTAGAGTATTGAAAAATGGCTGCTGCCATACCTTTGTGCTCTTTATTTAGCATCAGTGACTATTCAAAAATAAAAATCCATTGTTCTTCTGAACTGCACGGATAATCATAAGAGACCTTTTTCCAAGATTTAGCTTCTGGCGTTTAAAAGGGGATGCAGGTAGGAGTGAAATCTTAACGTAGGATGTGCATTGGGCATGCCTGGAAAAATAAACTTGATCTCCCTGATGACTGCGGTGTGTGGAGTTTGTGCTCCCTTGTGTATATTGCACAGTAATTGTATGCCAGATTTAGTGCTCTTGGTCTTATGCACTGTGTTTGCGTATGAAATGAGTAATTACATAGAGCTTAGTCATGTAGAGAAGTGCTTGTATAATCAAAAGCTTGTTGTCTTTTCAGCTGTAGCAGCCTTGATGTTTAAGTTCTTCCAAAACTCCTGGATAGCACTGCAGTGAAAGATCTCATTGGAAACCAAGGCTGAAGGGAATGTGGGAAAAACATTTATCAGGTTATGGAGAGCATCTTGTAAGCATCTGATACGATGTAAAGATTTCTGTGAGCCTTTACCCTTCAGATGTAATCTGGTTATGAGCAGTGTCACGTTAGCTAATCTATAGTCTGTTCTTACAATTGAATATGCAGAATTGGGCTGTGATGGTTGTGGGTGGCTTTGACTTCCCTGGATCTTTCTTGAGGTTTAAATCCAGCCATTTGTGATTTGACAGTTTACTCATTTAAAGCCTAATTCTTTAAAATGTCAACAAGTTTCCCAGCTGTGCGTCCTGCTTGGTCTCCTCATGGTTGGAGCTGGGTGAATTGTTGATTCTGTTACACTCATCAAAAGAGGCAAAGGGGGTAACGGCGGGGTAGTGGTTATACCCCTGGCTGACTGCCCCTGTACTTCTGTTCAGAGAGGGGATGGAGAATGAAAAAATGACACAAATGGAAGGGCAGTACTTAAATTTGCCTGCACGGAAACTGACTTTTTTCCAGTTAAAGGCATCCCTTATAGATTTACTGGTAAACAGGCTTTTTCTAGTACTAAGAAACTGTGTTCGCTTGTGTGTTGAGTCTGTTAAACGCTTTGCACACTAAAGTAGAGGTAATGTAGGGTTATAGTTTTTAGTCTGCTCTGTTCATTGCAGTTTCTGCTAGTTCATTTCTCTCTATTTAAATTCAAATTAATACATGCAGCATGAAGTCCAAACAGTTTTTAAATAAATTGAAGATTTCCTAATTGTATTTTCCTTTTAAAAAAAAAAAAAAGTATTTTTCCATTCCACTGTTGCTATGCAAAAGAGCCATGCAAACCAGAAAGGGAAGTTAACATGGTTGTGCAAAATGATAACAGTCCCACAAAACCAGCCACGCCCCACAACCCAAAACAAACCCAAAACAAAACTCCACAGCTGAAATCCAAAACACGGGAAAACAGGCCAGATGCAAATGACACGCTTTACGGGACAGAGGGGAAAGAAAGGAAAGGGATACTGTTTGCACAGCAGTTTAAAAATAGAGTGGGAATTGTCACTAAAAATAACCTTGAAAAATGTAAGACTGTGGATGTTTTCTTATTCTGGAACAAGATCTTTGAGTTACTTTTACCATTCTTTGTTATAGTTGTTCTGTTTATAATAAGGCTTTCTATATTCTGGAAAATCATTTTCATTTTGTCCTTCATTTACCTGTCCTTCCTGTTTGACCTCCACTTCTGTTTTGGCCAGCTAATGACTTTGTGCCCTTCTGCGCTGACAGAGGCACTATCAACTTTGAGAGATCCAATTTGTTCTAGTGATCTTATCCTTTCAGTATACCCTTCATATTTTATGGCAATGCTGTAAGCATGAAGCGTATCCCTTCCGCTTCTTACTCTGACCTTGCACTTTTGCAGACGTTTGCATTTAAATGCCTTCTAACACTTCTCATACAATAATTCACTTGAAGACGTGGCTTGTTTGTCAGATGATTTTCTACTCTTGATTAATAAGACTATTCTGTATAGGTCGAAAACTTCTGGAGACTTTAGTAGCGCAATAAAGTAAGCAATTTCAAGTAATACATCCTTAACAACGTAATAGACAAAGGGAGCTGTAAGTTTTAACTGAGATGAATAAGAAAAATAGTCTGAGGAGTGACTCTACAACTGCTTAGATATCTGAACATGTTTATTGGTCCAGCAAAGGAAATGGGAAGAGGTGTGCCAGGGAAAAACTGCACAAGTCACACAGGCTTATGTCTAAATTTTGGTAATTGGCTACTGCAAACGTGTTGCCTGTTAATTTATTTGGTGTAATTAGTGAAGCATTACAGAAAATAACTGTATCACACATACTTTTCAGATCTCTGCAATGAGTTACCCTGGCTATCCCCCAGCGGGGGGATATCCCCCAGCAGCCCCAGGTAAGTTGTTTAGATGAAGTTAATGTTAAATGGCAGTGGTGTAGTGGAAAGGTGGCACGGACAAAGAACGGGACTGCTGAGGGTTTTCTTGACTCACTGAAGCTTTCTGTGCTCTCTTGATAAGTCCTGTTTTATCTTGGCGGGGGATTGCAATTTATATAATATGGGTACTCTGCCACATACTCATATAAGGTCCATTTTCATTCATTTCAAATGAAGCACACAGCCCTAGGAGATGGTCATAATTTGACCAAAATCAATAAATGTCAAGGAACAGTGTCCTGTCAGTACTGAGTCTCGAAGGCAGCTGCTGAGAACAACGACTATGGGGAGAAATCAGTCACGCAATTTAAAACCATATCCCACAAAAAATGAGGGCTTTAATTATGACATTATCCCTAACTCACTGTACTTAAGTAGATGGTTGTATATGGAAGGGCTGTTAAAAAGGATATAAATTATAATAATATAAAGTTTATGAAATATGTAACTACTGCTTGGTATCAGGGTGAACTTTACAGTTGTTGGTAATGAACTTTACAGTTGTTGGTATTGTTGGTAGAAAGGACTGGAGTCATATGAGTCTGGTGAGATGTGGAGTTAGGCAAGTTTAACTCAGGAGAGGGAAGCAGTATACAGTGAGAAGGCAAACTAGCCTGGGAGGATAAATCCTATTTCTCAGCAGAATGTTCTGGTTTAGTTAGACTGCTATGCAGACAAGACTGTACTGCTGCATGCAGCCAACTTTTGTGACTTGGGTATCTGTGAATGTAGTATGTCATGCTCTGCAGACATCTCTCAGATTAGCAGCCTAACAGAAATTAATATCATCTTCTTACTGGAATACCCAGACAACTTTCTAATTTAAGAGGAGCTAATCTCTAGTCAAAATGTGGTGTTTACAGTGTTAACTCTTGAGTGTTAACCTTCAAATATGTTTAGAGTTGTTTTAAATGAGAACTTATAGATTCAACGATAACTAATGTGATTAGAAATATCCAGTGAGGCTTCTCTTTATATCATAATTGCACTGCTACCCTGCACCTCTTCAGCTGATTTTCCTTCTCCCAAACTGCTAGTGTTGAACAGACATTACATTAGAAATGTAAGTAGTAAAGAGTAAGTTTTAAAAGCTGTAGTTTCTTGTTTCAGCACAGCTGTGTTTGATTTCAGGTAGCAGTCCTTGGGGTGGTGCTGCCTATCCACCTTCAAATCCACCTCCAATTGGTCTAGAAAACGTGGCTGGCTACGCCAATCAGTTCAATCCCAACTACATGGCTGGAATGGTGAGCTTGGTTTCATTTAATGTGTTTTACTGTGACTTACTGTAAGTGCAAAGATGGGTTTCTGGAATTGCCACTGAGAAGTTTATCACTTGAGTTCTGCACCTTTATGACTAGCCTGTTTAGGTGGTGAGCATTCAATATCATCTGTTTAAGAAAACAGTTACTGCAAGCTATTTCTTATTTTAGGAAAGTAAACCACTAGTTAAATGTTGATTTTTAAGAGCCTGACTTCAAAAGTCATGGACATAAAAGTAATATAACTTGGCTTTTCTGTGCAGAGGAATAGGGCAACAGACTATTAACACTGAGTGTCCACTGTTAATATATTCACACTGGCAAACACAGGCCAGATTTTGCCTGCTACCTGGACTTTAACCAGTCTGAATAAGGAACAAGGCTGTGTAATTTGAGGTATCAATGACTCATCCCTGAAACGAAGATGGGATCAGCTGTGTCTTATAAGCACTGATATTTAACAGATGGCAGTAAAAACCTTTTACATTGATTGAAGAAAATACAGACGTTTCCAATGTGACTTTTTTCATAAAGTAGAAGTGAGTGACACTTTTGACAACTTAGTCTTCAGAAATCTGTTATGCTGCATAATGAATGCATGGTTTGTAGGAAGACATTTGCATTATAGATGCCTTTTGGAGGCAATGATTAAATGAAGTGATTTCACAACCAGGAGTCAAAATGAGCAGCAAACTATCTAGGGTGCACATAGTAATATCCACAGCAACTACCTTCTGAGAACAGCACAATCATCAACTGTCAGTTCGTCCGTTTCCTCTGTTAAAGAGGGTCCGAGTATGTCATGTGGGAAGATGATATTGCATGTGGAGTGGAGTGTTTTTGTGGCAGTTTCTGCAGATGTCTTTCCAAATACAGTCCAAGAGTTCTCGCTAGTTGTAAACTACTAATGCATCTCGTGCATCATAAAACAACCAGAAGTTGCTCATAGTAAATCCCTGCACTCAGATGAAGCTGTGGTCATGTAAGGCAGCCATGGATAGAGGAGGGATAAGCATAACTTTGTGTTGCTGGGATTAATTGGCATAAGTTTTTAGAATAAGAGATCTGTGGCTATTGGTGCTCTTCCGTGTGCGTGGTGTGTAATGCTGGATGCAGTGGCAGGTAGGCATCTGTGGGTTCTGCTTCTTGATGTACGGCAGCTGATGATTACAGTAAAGCAAGAGTCAACTGAATACAGGGGTTTTCTCCACCTTGCTTGCTAGTAAGACATGATTATTGCAAAGTTGTTTTGCGGATGCAGAACTACTGATCTGTGTTGGTGGGCAGGGAGGTTGTATTGTATTCAGCACATTATTGAAACTCAACCGTTTGTACACCTTCCCTTCTCTTGCTTTATTGGCTGTCACTGCAGGCATCCAACCTGGCAGGGACCTTTGGAGGGACAAACGTACCACAAGGCGTATACCCTTCAACACCTGGGGGTTATCCTCCAGTCCCTCCAGGTGGCTTTGGGCAACCTCCATCAGGACAACAGCCTTCTTATGGAGGGTATCCTCCAGCTGGATATCCACCATCAGGAATGTCAGCTTACCCAGGATACCCAGGCGGCCCTGCGTCAGGCCAGCCCACACCACCGCCTGGTCAGCAGCCTATGACCTATCCAGGACAACCACCAGCAACTTACCCAGGGCAGCAGCCCGTGCCAAATTATCCACCAGGCCCAGCTGTGAATCCGTCTATGCCCTCTTACCCAGGAACTACAGGGCCTACAGTCTCTCCTGTAACAGTAAGTGCATTCAGTGCTTTTGTTATGAGATGTGACCATGTATGTGTTTCTCTAAATTTTCTTTGTTTATGTAAGTGTAAACCTGGCATAAAATTGAAAAGAAAGTCAGAAGATTGACTAAAGAGAGAGATGGATCCTTTCCAAATGTGAGCAATGTAGGCTCATATGACTTGAAACAAATGCTGCTTTATCAACTTATCCAAGAAGAAAGATTTGATGTGAACTCAAATTTAATGAAATTTGCCTTTCCTAACTTAACAAAGTATTGCCAGTTGTATATACAGTTTCATCAAACTTTAATTAATTGGACAGCAGATTTAATATCAGACTTTGCATTTTCTCATAAGTTGGGGTTAGAAATGACAAAATTGTTGAAGATGGGCTTTTTGAGTTTTCTCTGTTACTTTTTTAACAAAAATCAAAATGATAACAGCGGTCATCTTTCCTAAGTAGTCTTTTACTGATTAACACTAATATGCAACTCCACTTGGTCTGATTTTAGCATGGAAACCGAGGCACAATCACCGATGCACCAGGATTCGACCCTCTGAAGGATGCAGAAGTCTTAAGGAAGGCAATGAAGGGATTCGGTGAGCAGTCTGTGGATTTACATTTCAGTTAAAAGTACAATTGCAGCTTTGATCCAGCAACGCCTTTCTCTGTTGTTACATGTGTACTGAGCGGCCTAGTTCATGTGGTTGTGCTTGGTTATCAGAAGAATTATTGGAGGTGCATGTAGGCAAAAACAACATCATGGGTTTGGTATTTGGTTTTGCGGGTTTTTTTATTCTTACAGTTTTTGCGATTGGGAATAGAGTTTGAAATTCTGTGGTTGTACATAAGAGGAGATACTGTAGATGAATTCAAGGCATACATGTCCTTCAGTTGGGTTTAGAAGAGATAGGATCAAATGGAAACAGAAAGCTGAGTCCTCACATGATGTGCATGCTCATTCTGTGGTGTCTGTGCATGTACAGGAACTGATGAACAGGCGATTATCGATTGTCTTGGAAGTCGTTCAAACAAGCAACGGCAGCAGATCATCCTGTCCTTCAAAACAGCTTATGGAAAGGTAAATACGTCACGAGAACAGAAGGAATAAGTAATAAGAGCCGAAGTTCCTTCACTGGAAGTCAGAAGACTTAGTGTTTGGAAAAAAAGACTGGAAGTTGCTTCAGGGGAATATGATTCATGAGTCATAGCCTGTTTAGGGTTCTGCTTTTACACACTTTATTTTTTTCATGCGATGTTTCAGCTGAAACATATAAAGCAGTTTTTCTGCTGAATGGTTACTTTAATGGTTTGATCCGTGCAGTTTATTTAGGTGCAATTTAACTACCTAGATAAGCGTGTTACATTATGCTAGTTTTAGTTTTGTTAAGTGGAATAGCTTTTCTTATATTATTCATGCTTACACATAAAGAATTGTAATTAAACTCCACAATTTTGGTGCTTACATTTGTCAATTTTGGTTTTTATGCATTTTTTTCCTTGTGTTTTTACTTCTCATTAGGATTTGATCAAGGATCTCAAGTCTGAGCTATCAGGTAACTTTGAGAGGACAATCTTAGCAATGATGAAGACACCTGTCATGTTTGATGCTTATGAAATCAAGGAAGCTATAAAGGTTTGTGTAGGAGATACAAATTTATAAGATAGAGGAAATGTTTGAGCTGATTAAAATTTTGGTAGTCATTTAAAAGCTTGAACTTACACTCCCTCCTCTCCGTCCAGATAGTCACCCACTGTTTGACTGATCTGTACCCTGTTTCTTGGAGGTATAGGATAATAAAATTGAGAAATGTTATTCCCATGGGTTAAAGGTAAAGACTATTTAATAGGTTTGTGTTGTAACAAAAATATATTAATAAATAAATACACACAAAAAGGCGGAAACTGAGTTCTAGCAGTCTCTGCAGTTCATTTATTACATAGTCTTGAGTCAGCTACTGAGGCAGCTCTCTGCTAAGCCAGCTACTGCATGGGGCACCCTTGTTTCTGGGTTTTTGCTTTGAGCTGTGATGGAACTGACTATAAAACTGCTCAATGCAGAGTTTTCAGTAACTTTACACTCAGTGCTCAAGAATAATTAAAAAAACTAGGATCATAAAGATTTTGGGCAGGTCCGTCTCCCTTTTATCTTTCCCCCACTTCAAAAGTGTATTTTCCTAGCCCATGCTGAACCTTTTCTAAAATATTATGGAAGTACTGTATACTTTAAAGCAATCAATATTTAGGTTTTAAAAATAAAAACGGGTCAAACATTTGTGTTTCAAGATAATGTTCAAATGAAGGTGAAATAAATATTTCCATTACTGAGTCAGTATGTATATTTACATGTTCTTTGGCCACACTTTTAAAGTAGCTAGGAGGATGAAACAATATTAGCTGTATTGTAATTGCAACTGCTCTCTATTGGTTAGTGAAAGTTACCTATTAGAATTGACAAATTCATCTTGAATGGTGGAGAAAATTGATTCTTAAAATGCCTAAAATCTGGTGTGAAGGAATACAGTTTAAAATGAAATTTTGTCTTCATAATTATTTTAATTATCTGTTCAATTTGTATCTTTAATACATATCTGTGTCTTGGAAACATAAGTAGCATTTACACTACTTGCTCTGACTTAGCCTATAACAAGATCATATTCTGAATTGTATTTTGTTGTATAATTTTACTCCATTTTGTTTATACTAGGTTGTAGAAGTAAGATGAGAATCTGAAGAGTGTGTTTTCTCCTTATGCTTTGTTTTAGGGCGTTGGCACAGATGAAAACTGTCTCATTGAAATCTTAGCTTCTCGCAGTAATGAGCATATTCAGGAACTCAACAGAGTCTATAAAGCAGGTTAGGTTTGTTACAGTTCCATCAAAATTTTTTTCCTTTTCTTCCTTAATCACTGATGACAACGTGAATTTATGAAATGAGCAGGAGTGTATGATGATTCATGACTGTCTCTCTCTTCCAGAATTTAAGAAAACTCTGGAGGAAGCAATAAAAAGTGATACGTCTGGGCACTTTCAGAGGCTTTTAATTTCACTTTCTCAGGTACTCAAATGACAGGATTTTGGAGTTTGGGGTTTGTGTGTGTGTGTAGGGGTTTTGGGGTTTTCTTTGTTGTTGTGGTTTGTTTGTTTTTTAAAAAAAAAGAAAAAAAGGGCCCACCAGTAATGGGTTTGTATCTTCAAATTCTTTCAGGGAAACAGAGATGAAAGTACAAATGTTGACATGGGTCTTGTCCAAAAAGATGTGCAGGTCAGTAGAAATTCTTCATCTCTTCTAAGTATAGTCAGCTCAATAGACTGAAATTTGACTATGTTGTTTCTGCTTACTCTTAGTTTTGTACACCTTGTGACTTCTGATGTAATGCCTATGTTTCAGTGGATGGAAATGATATGAAAAGCGCTGAGAGAGCGCTGAGAAGAAGCTCTCTAGAGTCCATAGGGTTTTTTTTATCTCTCTCCCTGTCAGCTCTCTGGCTTTTCCAGGTGTTGGATGGCTCTATTGTGCTGCATACTAAGGGAATGGTCCAAAGAGTTCTGAGGTGATATGTGTGTGGATCAAATTTTAATCTGTTCAACATCTGCATTAGCCTTTGTTATTTAAGGAACTCTGTATTTTTGCAACAAATAAGGCACTTGTACCTAGTAACTCTTGCCCTGTTACTTTTTTCATGTATTCCGTTTTTCCACATGGCAAAGAGAAAACCCTGGATCATTTCAGCACGCTACGGTCATATAAATAGTAATGTAATTAGCTTTCTACATAGTATACCTTAGCCAAAAGATGAGAACATCCCAGAACGTACCTAGAGGCATAGAAAAAAAAGCTAAACATATGCCCTGTCAGGAAGAACAGTTTTCAGGGACTTTTTAAACAATTTCCCCTCCTTTAGTAATCTGGAGCTCTTGTGTTTGAGCACTTATGCACAAGTAAGCTAGGAAGACTGCAAGCATAGCATATGGTAGGAAGGTTAGAACTAGTTGCTATTTATTGCTTGCTCCCTTTTTCCAGCTGTACCTAGACTAAGAAATAAGCGTGAAAGGAGGAGAGGCTGTAAGGAAGTGGATCTGTAACTCAGCTTTTCAGCCTGACTGCTTTTCTGAGTAATGAAGTGTGAATTTCCTTCTGTGTTCAGGAGCTATATGCAGCTGGAGAGAACCGTCTAGGAACTGATGAATCCAAATTCAATGCCATTCTGTGCGCAAGAAGCAGGGCCCACCTCAGAGCAGGTAATGGTATCCTCTGCATAAACAGTAACTTGATTCTGTTGTATGTAATGATAAAAATGTACACCACCATTCTGTGCCTGAATTTCCCCCATCTGTAAAATGGGTGTAATGATACCTCAATGAAAACCAGGGTTAATTCTGCTGAGAGAAAGAGCACACAAGAGCTGCACGTTGTGATCATCTTTCTTAAGTATCAGAGCAGGTAGAGGTCATACTTGTTCGAATGTTTCTCTGATAAAAGAATTGAAAAAATAGAATTGTTTCAATTTTGCATGCTTGTGTGTGCACAAGACACTTGCAATCCTTCCCTTCCCCTTTTACTTGTTAGTGATTAGGTGTTACATCAGTCTATAGTGGTGCAAATGTTTCAGTAACTGCATAGAACTTTTGCAATGTACTACGTGTTGAGGCATTTATATGGAGAGGAAAGGGATGGGAGAGTGTGTGTGAGAACCTGAATCTTTTGTTCTTAATTTTATTGACACCCAAAGCTTTCCTAGACGAATTTTCACTGTTTTCCCTTACAGTGGTTTCTTGGTCTAGCCCTTTAAAAATAAGGACAGAACTAGACAAACTAGAAGGGGCATGATGACATGTAAATGGAACGCTATGGTTAATAACATAGTATTAGTCTTTGATGTTAAAACTTGTGTGAGTATGCCATAGTATCAAGTTGAGAAGTGTGATTGAAATGAAGCCATCCAGCATGCACTGGTGCCGCCTTTTTCTTTTTGTGAGGCTGACTCCTGAAATCTTTCTCTTCCATTAACAGTCTTCAGCGAGTACCAGAGAATGTGTAACCGGGACATTGAAAAAAGCATTTGTCGTGAAATGTCTGGAGACCTGGAAAAGGGCATGCTGGCAGTAGGTACGTGTTGTCTTAGCAAGTTCATTCATGGTATTCCACTACAACTGGCTGGGATGGTGGCACCTGTGACTCCAGCTAAAGATGTTCTTAGTTCCAGTTTTCTGCTTTTTATGTTGAGCTTTTCTGTGAAGTCACTTGTGGCTTGTCGCTTCTAAAGCAGGGCACTTAATTCACCTCAAAATGGCAGATGAAGCTTTTGCTTCAGGCAGCTGCAGAATTTAAATGTTAAAGTGGGGAGAGAATTATTAACTGTACGTGGCATTTTTTTAGGAAGTGAGAACTTGTACCAACCACTGAGTCAGTGAGAATGGAATATTTGGGACAGCTTTGGAAATCAAGGCATTAACCCTCTAATTAGTTACCTTTACCTCTTTCTATTAAAAAGAAAACTTAGATTTGAGTGCAAAGGTGTTATTTTTTCCACATTTCCTGTTGTTACAGCTTTGTTAAATCTTTGTTTTTAAGTGCCTCCAGTACTTCTGAAGAGTAAAGACTCTTACCTCAAATCTAATAGTGCCCCTTAGGAGGCAGTCATTAGTTTCCATGAGGTTGGGACAAGGCCTTAGGTTGTTGTGCAGTAGTTCTATTTGGAATGTTTTGTTCTAGATAAAATTGTGGACCTCTGTCTCATTTTCTGTGTTTTGTCTCTTAGACAAGACTACTTCTTTACATCTCTGTTTCTTTTTCTGTTTATTACTGTGAATTTACTGTGGTATCTGGAGCTGCTGCTTTAAAAGTCTTGTCCTTTGGGTTTGAATATGCTAGTGACTAGAAAAGTGATGTAACAAAAAAAAAAAGTCCAAAAAACCCTCCTACTGAGATAAATAGGAAAAATGTGCTTTGCATCACTTGGAAACAAGATGGGAGAGGACATTTGACTCAGCTGCAACAGGGTTTTTTTTCATGGAAGTTTCTAACAAAATCTTGCAAAATGGGAATCAATTTTAAAGGCTGCATTTTTTCACTTCTGTCTTCTGCATATGTGAACTATGGAACTATTGTTCTTACTCTGCGTGGCTAAGCTGTCGCTATAGTGGCCTTTTCAGGACCCAAACTGGGTCCAGCTCTGTTGGTGTGATACATCTGCAGACCTTTTTCGGGATTCAGAATTTGTCACCTCAAAAAGTAAGGGAAAGAAATATCTCCCGGTATTTGTAGAAAAAAGATCACCTGGGTAAAGAAACTGTACTGAGAGAGTTTGGAAGTCCTTTGACTTCATGGAGCTTTGTAGGCACTTGACAGGTCTCCATGTAGACACAGATTCAGAATTGGGCCTGTAGCTTGCTAACAGGTCAACAGCCTTTTGAGCAAGAATTGTCTTTAATATTCACTGAATAACTCCTTTACTGAATAAATTGTGTTGTGTTTTTTTTTTTATTATTTATATGTATATACACACATATATATCAGTCAATGATGTTAGCATCATTTGTTCTGTGAACCTTATTTTCAGGAAAAAAGGTTTTCTAATTGAAAATATTTAATTTTGCTTTCTTTAAAGCTTTCTGGATTGTACAACTGGTAACTTATAATAACATCTTCAAACATCTTAAAGTGCAAGTGTGGTGTTTTAGCTAAATACAGTGATAAACATGCATTTCATTTGTCATTCGTTTTGGAATTGTATTATACGTATCATTGACAATTGTGTGCGGTGAACTGCTCTCTCTCATCTACATTTTCCTATTCAGAAAAGTACTTTTTCCTATATAGAATGTGAGTTGCTCTGAAATACGTATTTAGGTTTACCCCTTTTGTTCTATATTGATTTTATGTGATTGCTTTTGATACCTTTTTGTGCTGTAAAATATGACAGGTGTGGTTTGTTTTCTGTATAGTTTGCCATAGATTGCATGATTGTTTACTCGTAACCAGCATAGGATCAACACATAGATTTTAATTCTGATAAGTGATGGAGGTTTCTTTCATTATCCTGATAAACACGACAGTAATTTGATTTAGATTTTGCTCTTTCAGATGTCTATTGAATTTTACTAATTAAATATAAAATCCAGTCATTACTAAATAAGCATGTCAAGAATTTTTCAGGAGTCCTGGTGAACTTTGTGGCTAACAAAAAAAAAGTGTAACTAACTTTAAAATAAAGGTGAGCTTTCTATCGTAGGTGGCTTCCCAACTTGTATTAGGGCAGGACTTGAATTTTCATACCTTGCAGATGTGTGGCCTAAAAATTCTTAAATTAGGAAAAAGCCAGGAGCACCACTAACTATGTGTTCCTTAAAGCCTTCAGTCCCTCCCCACCCCTTCTTTCCCTCATAAGCAAGAACCTGGTCATTAAGACTTTATAGATTCATTATGGCCACTTCATGCTTGATGGTTTCTAGTGACTGAAAAGTGTGCTTTGAGCCATGAAGTGTAGTATGTTCTTTAACTTTATTGCAGCTGCTGTTCGGATTAAAAATCATTTCAGTGACTAACTGAAGTGGAAGCTGCATTGTATCAAGTATATGTTTATGTAAAATTAAAGCATGTGACTAGGGTAAGCTCAAAAAATGACTGAGTTCTGATTGAGAACAAATACCTGATTTCGGTAATACTGTTTCTTGTTGCAGTTAAGTGCCTCAAGAACACACCAGCTTTTTTTGCAGAGCGATTGCAGAAAGCTATGAAGGTAGGTGCCTGTGACAAGATACACAAACTTATAACGTGTTGTTTGTGGTTGTTTTTTTTTAAATGCTTGTACAGCCCATTGGAATGAATTGTTCAGCTGAAGGTATTACGTTTTTCAGTGGGCAGATGACTAACAAGATTCAGTCATTATTATGAAAGTCTGGAAAAATTGAGCTAATTTGATCCATTCAAGGGATGCATACAACCGTATGTTAAACAAAGGAAGTCTTCACTTGGTAAAACACAACTACGCTTAAGACTCATTGAAACTGACGTCTTTTAAGCTGAAATAAATAAGTAGGCCATTAAACTCACCAAACTTTCCTGAACCCCTCTTGCAAACTCCCTTTTTTTGCCTAACTGTTCTTATGTAGAGAAATGACTGCTAGTGTCTTGCCAGTAAATTTAATTTATTAAAGCATGATAGGTCAAATTCTGGTCAAGCTTATTGAAGTCAGTGGGGTTATGCTGGTAAACGGTTGGCTGTGGGGTGATGTTTTATTATAGTTTATTTTTTTTACTAGTGCTGTATCATCCAGCATTTCCACACATTATTAATATGTTGTATTGTTGTTTTGTTTGTTTCAGGGTGCGGGAACAAAAGACAGAACTCTGATTCGAATCATGGTATCGCGCAGCGAGGTTGACCTGCTGGACATACGCGCAGAATATAAGCGGATGTATGGCAAATCCCTCTACACAGATATCACTGTAAGACTTGGAGATTTTATCTTTCCTGCCGTGACATCCTTTTGCTAGTAGAACATGGATCCTTATGCTGACTGGCAATTAACTGCACTAAGTGTAGCTGGTTGTGTTTGGTTTGCTGCAATTGTCAGGAGAGTGGAGGCTGAAGTGCCAGTGAACAGACAGCACTTGGTTTTGCGTGGGAGCTAGATGGGCTAGGGATGGGAAGGAAGCCAACAGACAAGGAAGGAGAGGGAAATTGGTCCAGAGGGATTTCAGAGACCTGTTTTTAAGTCAGCTCTCTGTCCCAATCTCTGTTTATGATCCTGTAGAAACCACTTAGTCTTCCAACTGAGTAATGATGGTGCTCTACCTCATGTATGTGTTGAAAGAGTTTAAAGATCCTAATATGCTTTTGAAAGATTGTCTCCTCTTTCTCCTGAAAGTACAAGATTTTGGAAATAGACCATTACTTATTCCTTCTGCTGGTGATACTGAGGGACTGAAACTTTGAAGTATTTCAAAGGAATCCTGCAAAGATAGTGAAAGATAGTGTGCACCAAAAAGTCTTAATGTGAATCTTCTGCCAGCAACTATATGGGCTTTTTGCCCATGGGCCACAGAGGCTCACCTAGCAGAAGCTTTTTCCAAGCGTGTAACTCTGGAGTGAAGATGTGCTTCTACTACAGGAGTTACATGCCCTGTAACCACCAATGTGTGAATAAAAAACGGTGAGGCATTGGTGGAAAAGCTGTATGTCTTTCCCCCCCCCCCCCCCCCGCCCTCCCCTTCACATTTGATCTGGTATTAAAATAATTTTACAGTTCAGAAACAGGAATAGGCCATACCCATTTAATGGGCTGAACTTACTCAAAACTTGTTTTCAGTAAATATGGGGAATGCATGTGCTTGTAAACTCTACATATTTTTGTAAAAGTAGAGCTGAAAACATTATTGGAAAGAAAGTTGTTAATTCTTCTCTTTTTTTTTTTTTAAGTTCTTTCCTTTCAACACATATATAAACAGGAATAATTAATATTTTGCAGATTGTGCTTTACACCTGCATAGGGTTTATTCTGATCTTTGAGGTGCGTCTTTGTCACTATTGTAATAATTTTGATCTGGACAAAACAGTTTTCAGGTATTCCTGAAGACGAGGGATGAGATAGATGCACTAGCTTATACTGTTCTGTGAAAAGGATTGGCAAGCCTCATCAACGAAAACAGTTAATGAGCAGCTCCCAGGCAACGCTTTTTACTCATCAGGGCACGAGGCAAAACTCAGCTAGCAGGGTCCTTTGTGATTAAATTGCTGCTGTTCATGAAATATTTCATTCTTTTCAATGCATTTTTGTTTGTGCATCCATACTGACTTTCAATGCCCACAACATGAGGGAGACCTTATCACTTTCTACAACTACCTGAAAGGAGGCTGTAGCGAGCTGGGGGGGCGGTCTCTTCTCCCGAGAACAAGAGGAAACAGCCTCAAGTTGTGCCAGGGGTGGCTAAGAATGTATATTAGGAAAAATTTCTTCACCAAAAGGGTTATCAAGCATTGGAACAGGTTCCCAGGGAAGTGGTGGAATCGCCATCCTGGAAGGTATTTAAAAGACGGATAGACGTGGTGCTGAAGGACATGGTTTAGTGGTGGTTTTGGCAGTGTTGGGGTAACTGTTGGACTCGATGATCTTAAGGGTCCCTTCCAACCTAGACGATTCTGTGATTCTATGAAAGAGGTATTCTCTAACTGTGGGGACAAAAAACCCCACCACTTAGATCTTTATGTCAGGATATTGTTTTTAATGTTTGCACATAATAAACAATAAACTTTCACTCACTCCCCCTGGAAAAATAGCCACATTGACTGTGAGGAAAAGGACTTAAGTATTAATTTTTCCGTATTTTCATACCTTTTGCTGGAAGACAGCTTTTCAGTGAGAGTTTTTTATTGAACTATGCCCAGGTAAGTAGTTAAATAGGTATACCAAATTCAGTTTGTTAAAGAAATATATTCTCCATGGACACTTTCGGTTCCAGTTATGGAAGGAGCAGATTTTACTATTTACTTGTATTAGAGTGATTTCTAATTAACAGACGTTCTAATTTTAATTTTTTTTTTAAGAGGCTAACATCTGCTTTCTTTCAGCCCTGGCTTAATCTCTTTTGGTTGTTAATGTCATGTTTAGAATGCTTACACTTCTTTTTCCTCTATTTCAAAGTACAAGTCTTCAACTTTTCTTTTTCTGGGTTTCTTTCCAGGGTGATACTTCAGGAGACTACCGGAAAATCCTACTCAAGTTGTGTGGTGGAAATGACTAAATGGAGCATTGAGCTTTTCTTAAAAAAGCTGCTATTTTCTTGGTTTTGTTTTAAAGCATCCTTTTTTCTCCAAAAGTAAACGTGTAAGACCTGTTTCTCCTAAAGCAATTAAATTTTTAACGATAATATTACATGTATCTTCCCTTTAGTTTGAAAATAGTAGGTAATAAATGCCAAAAAAAAAAAGAAAATATCAAGCTTATGTGCCATTTGCTCAGGATTCTGTATAGTACTCTCAGCAATTCATGAATGACAGAATTTCTTTTCTGCTTATATTATGCTGAAACAATATGTTTGTTTTATGGAACAGAAATCAAAGTTGTATGATTTAAGGTTTTATTTTGTATAAACATTTCATCGCATTTTAATGCAAGTTTTATATATGTTGTATGCAGAGTTGTTTTCATGCTAGCCTACTCCCTGATACGTGGAGAGAACAGCCTTGAGTTTTTGTGTCTAGTTAAGACTGTTTTAAAGAAGTTTTGTCAAGTTTCATTTTCTTTCCTTGATGGTTTTTAAGGAAGATGTGTTCCACATTTCATTCTTGCTAGGGCGACTGTCACAAGGCAGTAGTAACGTTGATATTAGTGAAGATTCTGTAGTTAATGTTCTAAGGTTTTGGATTGTGCCTTAAATATATGTATGTAAGAAGAGATTATGAAATTAAAGCTGTCTATCTTCAAACTCTTTGCAGACTAGGCTTTTTTGGTGTTCGTGTTGATTTATGTATGAGTGATGACTGGGTTTATGTAACTTAATTTTTCCATAGAACTTCTCAGAATTATCCACAGAATTATTCAGAAATGGTTGTGTTGACAAGAGTTTGGGACTTGTATGCTGTTGATGAGCAGTTGTCTGTACGTGATACGTGGAATCTGTAGTTATTGCTCAGTATTTTCATTTTGCATGTTGTGATTTCTCTGACTCTTGGAACTCTGAATTTTTATTCACTGCTAGCATGGATGACATCTTTTCAGCTTGTCATTCTCAAAATAGAAACATGTAAAGAAAAAAAAGTAGAAGGGGGAAGAGGTTTGAAGCTAGGTCAGTCAAAATAGACTGCTTGTTAATCAAGAATGTGCAAACTTCTTTCACACACAGACGCACGCTCTCCTGCTGTTCTGCAAAGGTCAGGCAGGTCCTTTTTCCTGGAAGAAGCTGTGTTGCTGTCTGTCGTGGAAGAAAATGGGGGTGTCATGGGGTGGATGTTGGAATTAATTCTGGATTGCATTGTCACTACAGCAAGGGAGAACAGTGGAAAGATATCAGAATAAGATGGCTGTGCGTCCAAATGATGAATTCTGAGTAGTCCCAATGGCAGCAATGCGACCATGTCCAAAGCCAGACTACTCCATACACTCATAGTCTGAACAATCTAAGCATATCTTGAAAGGAAATTGCACCCGAAAGTATATCTGCATTGATTTACACCAATAGCAAAGGTTCACTTCTTTGCCAGGGAAGGAGTAAGCTTTTGAATTAAGGGGAGTTTGTTAGTTTGTTACCTGATCTTGTTTTCTTCCTGCACGTGCTGTATTTGAAATGCAGTTTTGACTAAGTAGGGCTGCTGAAAGATTTAAAATAGAAAGCTTTGAACCAGTTTCTAAAAGCAAACACCTTTTTATTATAAAGCACAGGAACACAGAAGGCAAACTACAGCTGAAGACTGTTCGTCCCTGCTCAAATTCTGGAAATACGAGGTTATTAAATGAGCAAAAGTGCCACTGTTTATGACAACCATGCTGTTACGTTCAGCTGTCTTCTGTCTTCGCAGTGCTCAGCTGGTATCTGTGTAGAGAAGAGTTGATGTAATTATTTTTGGTTATAAGATCAGGATCAATCTTTGTAGCTAAACATCACTTAAAACATGAGTCCTGCTACTTTAAAGTGGGGGATTGTCACTTCAATTCATCAAATCATAGAAGGAAGGTCCTCGAGCTCTGCAATTCTTGAGCCATCTGGCAGTCGTTGCAAGCTCTGTCTGAGTAGTACTTACTATAGATGTGCTGCAAATATGCTGAGGTTGACTTAGGATTTCCATTTTAAATTCACTGTAACACTTTACTAGAATACTTTTCTTTTTAAAATAAACTCTTGTTGGAGGGGAGTAACTTAATTGTTACCTATTAACTGCCTCTCATAGAAAACTGGAAATTTTAATGAATAACAAAGTTGGTGAGAACATACCAGTCATGGTGACCAGCTCCACACAGCCAACTGCAGGAACTAAAAACCAACACAAACTCCACTGCTGTTTACTTTGAGCCCACCTGCTGTCACCTAAGTGCACTACAGTATGCATGTGTGTATGTAAACGAATAAACCCAACACTGACAAAACTCATTTCATAAAGATCTCTGTGGATGCTCGTACTTTTTTACTTCCCACCAGGAGTGTCTTTCACCTTGTTAAATGCGCTGTTGATAGCTGGGCAGAGAATGAAGAGGATAGAGCATTATAAGCAGCTGTGTAGAATAGGTGGTCTCATCCAAGTAATTTCTGTTGTGGTTTAATTTATTCCAAAAACATTTATCCAGGAGCATGTTTAGTGTTAGGGGCCTGCGTGTCAAGATTGGATTTAAGATATTAAAATGATAATACTTCCAATAACTTTTTTTTTGTGTGTGTTTTTTTGCCCTCCTTTGTTTCATTTATCACACATGAAACTAAAGAATCACAGTATCTTAAAACTGAAAGGGACCATGAACTGAAAGTCCATCCTGCTGTTTTAAGGTGTGATGCTTGTTTACCATTTCCACTGCTGGGGAAACTACAGTCATAGAATTTCAGTGGTTCACTGTCCTCGTAAGAAAGCTTTGCCGTGTGTTTTGCTGGAGTCTTTTTTGCTGCATATTTTCTTGTTTTATTCACTTTTGCAATGGGGAAGAAAACACAAGCTTTCATCTTTGTGGCAGCCTTACTCGTTCTGGTGGGCTTCTTCAGTATTCTTTAGACTAAACATCCCCAATTTAACAACCTTTTTGTGTAGCTCATCTATCTAGATCCTTGGCTGGGGTGTTGTTTGTTTGGTGAGGTTTCTTCCCTGTTCTTTCCCCCCTATCTTTAGTGGTTGTTGAAACTGGTGTTCAAAACTGGACCCAGCATTTCAGCTGATGCCTTACCTGCACTGAATTGAAAGAAGGAATTACTTCACATTTTGGGGGGAGAAAAGATGGCATATTTGGTAATAGCATATGCAACACTGCTTTCAACTTGGGTTATATCGCACTCAATACTTACCATCAAAAATGTCTATCAGTGGGGTTCCCGGAGCGATGGGGATGTTTGATGTTGTCTCACTGATGATGTTGAGGAGTGACTTGACTTCTGATTCTAGATGCTCCACTGTTTTTATTACCTTCTGATGAAAACGAGGGAGAAAAATGGAGAAAGAGGGTAGTCAAATGGTCATGTGGAAGGAATTGTAATAAATGTGTTAGTGGAAGTGCGAATCTAATGTCCCATAATGCTAACAGGTAATTTAATTTATATTGTGCAGTGCGGATTTAAATATTTCTTGTGTTATGCTGGCCTCTGGTGGCAGGAAGTATTAAAACCTTGTTTCAGAAGAGTTAAATTACAGCACCTCTGTATAAAGAATTGCATGTAATTTGACTTCTTGGAGGAAGCTTTGCATTAATGTGTTTTTAATTCTGCCTCATTTCTGAGCCACCATCATATCCAAGAAAAGAATCTGCACGGGAGATGAGAGGAGCTGATGGGGTGGGAAGAAGAGGGCTGGAACTAGAGCAGGAGAGAGGTAATGTTGCCATTTGAGAGCCAGCAGAGTGCAGTTTGGCATCCACCCAGCACTGGACATGTATCTTGTGAGTGCTTAAGGCACCAGGGAAAAAAAAATTAAAGCTTTGCAGCTTTCCTAGAATCCCTGTCGTAGAGTTTACTTAGCTCTCGAGTGTCTGCAGGAGCAAGCAGGAGCTCCTTTGTCAGGCTTGGAGTCACCTGCAGAATTCACATCTAGCCATGAGCAGATGTGAAACTTTACAAATACCAGTTCTGAGACTGTTATATTAAAGGCACAGTTATAAACATTTTAGAAAAGGCTGATATGTAATATTCAGTGATTGGTTAATCAGTTGTTTGGAATTCATCAAGATTATATGTTGCTGGTAATAATGGCTTTATGGATAGTTACAAACCATGACATCTGGGGAAAAAAAAAAAAAGTCAGACCTTGAATAGAATAACATCAAGAAGGGACAGTGTCTAGAAACATCATCTTCTTTCTTTCCTTTGGTCAAAAGGATGAGGCAGAGGTCTGGTAAGGTCTAGGAGCCAGCACAACAACTCTTACCTCTTCAATAATATCTAAGCGTTCGTGCATCGTATCATGTTCGTTACACCAGCTTCCTCCTCCCAGACTTCCAGGTAACACACTGACAGGGTCTGCAGCAGCTGGAAAAACAGCCACAGTTAATTAGCAAGAGCTTTTTAATAGCAGTCCTTACCTTTCCAGCTTCTAAAGTGGTATTTTGCATGCTCAACAGCATTGTTCATGAAACCAAATGTAGGAGTCCCAGGTAGAAATTGAACCTTTCTCACAACGACTACATCTACACCCCAGTGCTGTGAATGTCTCTTTGCCTGCACGCACTGTCAAGGCTGGTTGGAAGAAGGTGTTTTATCTTGCCAGGGGGATTTGTTTTGTTTTGTTTGTGTGTGCATGTTTGTTTTACACAATCTGCTTTTTCCTACCTGTGTAGGGTAAGTTTATAGACTGTAACTCTCTCTACAAGTATAAACCTGTAAGCATTGGGAACATCTGCCCACACATCAGTTCCTCTTGGACTTACTGCAGAGGCAGCTGGTATGGTAAAGCTTTGAAGACCAGCTAAGTTTGTCCACTTACGCTCCAAATGGATACAAGCTGGTGATCCCACTGTGCCAGAAACTTGTCCATAACAGTCTGGTTTTGCAATGGGAAGGCAAACAATAAGTGTGTACAGCTGATGCCATTTTCTGACCCAGTCACTCCTATATGGCGCTATACACAAAGTTGCTTATCT